TTTACCAAGATACTAGTTTATCTGACAAGGTCAAACTAGTAAGGTAATAACTGTATTTGAGTCAGTGTATATTACTACCTATCTGTTTCATATCTAATATAACAGTGTACTTCAGTTTTTATTCGTTAAACATAGAGTATTTCACACTAAGAAATGACAACAAAACCATATAGGAACTTCATTCATCTGTGTATGTTGGTATATATAAAAATTAGCCTTTCTAAGCGACTAGTTTAGAGCAAAATTCATTTTGCATCTTAAACAACATTCATCTTTTGTGAGATTGCTATGAACGGAAATCCTTTGCCAACTTCAAGAAAACTAAATTTCTCCAAATTCTTTCAGCGTTGACTTACATTGGTTTGAATAGACTGCAGTAACGTTTCTGCTGAAAAATGCAGTGAAAAAAACAAGAAGAAATTCAACATCGCATTGTCTCTCCCTTCCAATGTATATGTGCTATAGGTATCAATAATTATCAATCACATCTTCAATATAAACTTTTATTAGAATAAATTTTAAGCATTGAAAGAAACCAGAGCACTGATTTTCTATTGATGTCGTGCAAAAAATCACCTACAGTTGGTAGGGAACGAATTGGCTAAGGTGTGCCTAAACTGTCCAGATAATTGACTATCAATTCTTGGGTCACAGGCATACACCTGTTCAGCCTAATTTACTGCAGCCAATCTTTTGTATAGCATCATTACGCTGGATAGAATAGGTGTGGCTAACAGCCTTATTTATGAATGAATGGGTTGTTAATTCATTGGATTTACTAACTATTATCTTTTAGCGTTTTTAAAAGTTGTTTTTGATGTATCACACCCACAGAAGAGAATCAGTCCCAAAGTGTTTTGGTAGAATAGCATGAATTTCTTGAAAATTCTTGTTCCGTTAAAATACTAAATAAATGTTTACACATAACTTTATTCTCACATACCTTTTACATGCTTTATAAACTTACAAATCAATTGGTGTTCTTGTCACACAAACGTTCTCAGGTGGTTTGAAATTATTAGCAGGTAATTGAACTTTATGCCTAGACTGAAACATCATCACTTGCAAAATAGACTAAACCAATACTTCTATATAGGCTACAATCAGGGCCATTCAGAAAAATAGTCTACACAACTGCGGTAGTCATGTCACAGTTGGATAAGTAAGATTAGTATTGGAGCTTGTCCCAACCGATAACTGAAAATTTTGTGGTTCCATGCATTTTTGTGACTAAAAATCGGTTAACTGTAGGAGAGTCAGTTTGATGACTGTGTCTGATATCCTAGGTTCTGTAGCGATGCGACATCTTCAAGAAGCTCAGGAACAGCAACTTCGAGGAAACCAGGCAGGCAGGTTTCAGATGTCATCGTTGGCGTGTAGGTCAGATATTTATTCTCAGCTGGGTTCTGGAACACGGACGGACCTGCTGACGCCCGATACTAGCTGTATTTCTCCGCCTGAAGGTGGGACTCATCTCTACCGGTGAGTTGTGTGGATTCTTTCTTTCTAATTTGTATTTGTCATAGACGTAATAATGGAGATCCTCATGTTGTCGTATAAAATCACAGGGCTTGTTCTAGTAGACCTAAATACGCAGACGGTATGTTTTTGTTAAAGAAAGATGCTGTCTTCTGAACACCTTGAGTCACAATTTGAGAACGGTTGGTTCCGGTTTTTGCCTACTTCCTAAATGCAAATGTTTGCTCCGGCATTGGTTTTCACTAGTGTTCTGTTTAACAATGGGGGGGCATGACGGTTGAGTGGATTGACTGTTGCCTTTGCCTGAGAAGTCAAATCAACTCTGATGGGTCTGTTGCCGATAATATCTCTCCAAGGATACAAAAGGCTTCTTTGACTTCTGCTAACTTACACTATTCATGGCGCCCCCATAATATCCGGCTCATTATTAAGGATAGACTGTACTGCACTACAGTTCACTTTCTTTCAGTAATTGACTATGAAACGTGTTCAGTAAAGGTAGAGGAAATGAGGTTTTAGTTATTCGACCACCGTTGCCTTCGCAAAGTAGGTCGTATGTCGCGATATCAACATTTCAGTAAGGTGGAAGTCAGGTGTAGAGTTCTAGGTCGAAGAGGAAAGTCAGTTGATGTGGTCGTTGACTTTCACCGACTGAAATGGCTGGGACATATGTTTGGGATGCCTAGTCACCGTCTGCCTCGTTGCACAATGAAGGCCGTAGTAGGTTTAGTCTGGAAAAATGTGAGGGGTGGCCAGACTAGACGATGACGTCGGTTTCTGAGTTCTTTAGCTGTTAGTCTGACCAGTATGGGGAAATAAAGACTTCCTGGTTCAGGTCCGAGTGACAACCGAAATCGGTGGTTGGAGTCTCTAGGTGATATGGTTCAGAATCAACGTCAGTGAAGCAGATGTATCCACAAATTATCTTCATTTCAATCGTCATTCTAAATCCAATAGTTTCTCATACCTCCTTCTTCTCCTTTGGTGACTTTCCGCTACTTTTGACTATTTCCTTTTTGATTTTTCTATCCTTCATCTTAGTGCATTCTCGCTTGATGTTCTGATATAAGGTGTAGAAAATTGAAATATTTTGTAGTAATACCTGATCCTAAGTTGATTTTTGTGTATCTGTTGTTGATCTTATCTTTCGACGTCAGATGAATTGTACTAGACGAGAAACCACTCAATCATCTATTCATCAATTCAACTGACCAACCGACATTCGTTTATTTCGTGTTACAATGCTGATGCCCTACCTGACGAATTAAAACATTTGAATAGTGAATGTAATATCATGCATATAGGACAAAAGCACTTTTCTGCGAAACTTAGTCCCAACACTGTTGGAGATATGCTTTAAAAACTGAATATCTATAATCCTGAAAGCTTATCTTCCTATAACTACAAATAACAACTATTAATCAACAGACTGAACGTCAGGTTAACGAGTTTGATGATGGTCTGTTCTACTTTTAAAACCGTAACTATCAGTTTTCGTCAGAAGCACGTTATTGTTGAGTTACTAAGTTTGGACTTAATAATTTGTAATCACACAGCCTGAGAAAAATTTCTCCTTGCAATAATAATGTTAGCTATTAGAAAATGATATATGAAGTAAACGTACTAGTCTTTGACACTTTCTAAATGAACAATGGTTATGTCCATTTTGGTGTGTAATCCTCATTAGTCATATATAAATCACTTCAACATAGAATATAAGGAACTACTGTACATCAGAACTATTCCAGTCCAAAATTTTCAGCCACGTATCTGTTCCCACCATTTCTCCTCTAGTTCGAACTCACTTTTTATGAGAATACATTCGTTTAAAGACCACTGGACCCAATTCCCAAAATTAAACACTTTTATAGGAAGTATCATCCAACATCAACGTTAGTGTTACTGCTAGTGCAGAACAGTCGGTCGGCAACAAACGTCACAAATTTCCATTAGATTCTAAGAAATCTTATCCACATATGGATATTACTGCATGTTGAAAATTAACTACACAAGAGTAAATCAAAAGAACTGTAACATATTACGCAGTACTGAATGACCTCCGTCGACCCTCTATGGTTATGTCTTTTAAGCAGTAACAGGATACTTTATGATTCTTAGATGCTTAAAAGATTTGAAAAAGCAAGAGACCTTAAATCAGTATGAGATTATTTCATAAAATGATACTAAACAATGACAATAAACCATAACAATAAAAAAAATTAAAAACAAACATATTCACTTAGAAAAATCAAAAGAAAGGGGGTTGGGTTTGCATGAATCCTACGAGATGAGCTAATAGTAAACGTATACGGATAATTGCACAGCCTTAATGAATCAAAGAATAGGAAATAATGATTACAACTAACAATGATCAATGGCCACAGTACTACTTATATGCTCAGAAGTAGTAGTAATGCGTAGCTTACATCACAATATACAAATATACACTTGGACAGATCTTAAGACAATGTATTAGTGGTGAAAATAGCTCCCACCTTCATCAAACTTTTTTTTATAGTAGAAATACATTTTGAAGTAGATGAGTGAGTAAATGAAAATATGCATGCATGAGCTAGAAAAAAAGCGCGATGAATAAACAAGCGAAGTATAAAACAATTCGATTAATTTAGATCAGAAAAAGTTAACACAAAATTTCATCACCAAAAATAAGTCAATGAAATCACTACTATCATTGTTACTCTTTGGAAAAGAAAGCAAGCTGAAGAAATCGTACGAGTGAAATGTATAGATAATCGAAGTGTGAAACAAAGTTGGACACACACGGAAAATATGAGGAAAGATAAAAAAATCAGAAAGTGAACAAGGAAACTACTAGACTTGAATTATCAACCGACAAGGTAGAAAAAAACAACTTTTTGTACTCAAATGTTGGTTTCCTTTTCGTTCATCTGGAAAGTAAATTAAGAAGCTCAACACTCGCTAATCCTTGGTTTTAGCATTCATATATATATATATATATATATATATATATATATATATATATATATATATATATATATATATATATACAGCGAGCGAGAGGCAACGATACTCAGTGATCCGATTAACTTCCATAAGCAGTTATATTGGATGTAGAATGTGGAGAAAACAAAAGTACACTCGAGAAACAGGGAAAAATTGAAGAATAGATTTATTTTCTTGTAAATATACTGTTGCATGACAAAATGCAAGGGAATGAAAACGTTGATAAGTAAATAATTATGTCCAGCATATAGGTTTTATTTTAAGTATTGTGTTAATACGCTTTCATGTTTGATTAATTTCCAACTTTTGCATATCTAACTCAACTAATTGTTTACAATTATCCATATGATGATGAGGATTCATCTGTGGTTGCTTAAACTGAATAGAATGATGATGGTGCTGGTGATTATGATGCTGATCATACAGTGAGTATTTATGATGATGTACAGAAGAAGAAACAGAAGAACAATTTGTAGACGGTGTAGTACTAGTCGATGTTGAATTGATAGGTAATGAAGAATTATGCGAGCCATTATTCATTTATTTTGAGTATTCAAAGAATATAGTTGTGAGTAACGACACAAGACCGGACTTTCATTGATACTACTGTTAGTTGAATCTTGAACAAAAACATTGTTGTTACTGTTTCCGTTTATGTTGCTTTTTGTAGACGAATTGAGTAATCCTTGTGAAAGATGCTTTCGACAGTGAAGATGATGACAACATGGTGATCTTGATGCTGATGACTGCGGTGATAAAGATATGGGAGTTTGTCGTGATACATTATGTGAACTTGTTCGTATCGGTGGTCTAGGTGGTGGTGATTTAGCTTTTTTATGATCGCTATCACTAGAATGATTATTATTAGTATAGTTATTATATTGGTGATTAACATAGGAGCGGGGTTTACATTCCTCAGAATAATTGAAACACTGTGAATTATGGGTTTGATTTAATGTATTCAGCTGATATGATGTAGATTTAGAAAAAGAATATTTTTCGTGGTCCGTTGATTTATTAGCATCATGATTTATCCAATCATTAGGAAGTGTTTCAGACTTCCTTAACCGACCCGATAAATTCTGTGGTACAGTCGATGTTCGATATGGTAGTAAATGTGTCCAATAGGGGATTTGTGTCGTTGATGCATTGTTTTGTGTACCTTTGTCATTATTATTATTATTACCCACAGCAGTGCTAATATTGCTTCCAGGTGGACTCAAAAGAATAGGATTCGTTGCTATGGAATTTTCATAAGGATTTGGGCGATCTCTTACACGACTACTGCGATTATTTCCGTTAGCTTCAGTGTTACGCATCATTTCAGGAATAGGATATATTGATGCGTTGACGTACACTGAACGTTTTTGTCCACCTGATCGACTTCTTCCAGTGGCTATTCGTTCTTGATTATCACCCAACCATGGTCGCCTGATTAGTAGGCATTTTATTTCAGTATCCACCTGCTTCACTTTCAGTTTGGCGAAGAGCAGCGATAGACTTAAGTATTTGAATTACTCCGCTAAATTCTTAATGATTTTCAAAGGATGCATTTTGACAGAATATTCAAATCTTACGCACCAGATCAGTAAAGAAGATATAAACAGATAAAAACACATGGCAATTCAGAGAACAGTTAAAAATATCTTCAATAGCATGCTGCGACATATGACTAAATAATCTCATACAATCAACAAAAGATCACCCAGAATTCCAGGAGGACCCAGGGTTACTTATTAGTATGTGAATACAGAAGTTTTTGTACCCACCCTAACCTTTTAATAAAGCAGTTTTTAGTCTTCTAGGCCTTCTCCAGTTTCACAGGTCAGCCAAACGTCCCCACCCATACGGGCGGCTTCCAATTAGGCGCACTGCATAAAAACGGTGCACACATCAAGCCATACACTCTAACGGAGATCCCAAAATCTCGGTTACCTACTCTTACCTCCTTAGATAGGACGGTATCATGTGCTCTACCTGGGTTATCCCGCTAAGGCCAATTCCACCTCCCACTCGTTGCTCTGCTAGCACCATCCTTCCTCCAACCACGGAAAGACCGCGTCACCTAGGCACTTCAGCCCCTTCTGCCTTCGTAATTAGCAGACAACTGATCGGGTTCGTGATTCAATCAAAGACTGCCTTCGAAGCCCGGTCTCACGGCCAGAAGGATACCATTTCTAGTGTTCAGTAGTAGCTGCTGCAGCAGTAACCAGAGTATCTAGTAACCAGTCCAATCTAGGAGAGGCTGAATCATCTTATTATCCTTTCTTCTTTCGACGGTACAGCATCTGATGCAGTGGGATCTGAAGGTTATTTTAGGCGCCCAGACCTATAAAAACCAAGAAAAAAGTGAAGTGACTGATAAAGTCATGAAGCCGTACTAACCGGAGTTTTTCAATGCAATCTTTAACCTCAAAGTACAAAACACAGATTCTCCACGCCGAACAAAAAATTTTTTAAAATTAACCAAAATGATCTCACACTTCTGATACTATGTTTATCCTTCTCCATTATACAAAGTGGCACTTAGTGACTATTAATAAACAGCTAAGAAAAGTGTGGAGTCATTTGTACTCAGAAATAACAGACGAAAAAACTATGGTTTGCGTACAACTACAAGAGGTTCAAATTACCTTTTCCCTCCCAGAGAACAAAGAATCAAAGTAAAACATTTTTCTGTTGGTATGAGTACTGACCAAACCGTACGCCTTCACAATTGCCATTAACTTACACCGAATTCACAGTATAATACGCATTTAAAGCTCGAAGCTATTGAAAACAAAACTTGGCGAAGCAGTACCTTCAAAATGCGAACCAATGAAGTGCAACTCAGCCGTTTACGCTATAATGGATTGGATTCAGCATGACTGACGTCCTCAGTTAACAGATATTTTCAAACGACTGACCATTTAAAGTAAAAGAAGAAGTAAACTTACCTTCTGGTTCAAAAATTCTGATTTCGCTTTGTAATGTGAAGTATCATATAACATCGACTTATAGTTATTCCTTACCAACTGAAATTATTAAAAATGTATATGCAAATACTTTCATGCAATTCGTCAGTGATAGACAACAGTTTGCTCAGGCGAAATGTTGAAGTGAAAGCTACTGCTTATACTATATGAGTTTTATACAACTAGATAATTACGGTATTTGCTTTGTATGCGATTGAGGATAACTCTATCTAGTGGACATTCATTTTCTAACTTCATATACTTAGTGAATAAATTGTGAATTATTTATTATGAAGGTAATAAGTTAGCTATACGACAATAATACCATGAATTCATACCTTGCATTCAATGTTAGATTCACCGAACTGTTGGTATTTTACAACTGACCACGTATCTGGATGAAGGTCATTCGATACGGATCAATACATATTTGTAAATCACCAACTCAATTAAATTCGTTTCGGTTAGTTATCGTATCAAGAAATTACTACGCGGAATAAATAATGCTCAATCTCAAGTTGAGCATGATCCAGTCCACTACAATCAGGAACATAAGAAATATCAATGTATACGTAACCCACCAAGTGACGAAAATACTTGTGAATATTATGCAGATAAATCTCCATGTTATAAAAGTTCACTTGGAACAAGTTCCGAAAGCGGTGGAGACTCTGATAACACAATGAATTTACAGTCTAACCAAAACAACAAAATACCTCAAAGGTGGACTAAACAGAAGCCCATCTGATCTCATTTCACTACTGGACATTATGTTTACTAACCGTACTCATGATATGGTTACACAGACTTTCTTCTCTTGATGATGAATTTCCTCTGGACGCTGAAATTATTAAAAGAAGTGACAGTTGTTATCTGTGTTCATAACAACAAACTTTATTCGCATCGAATAAGTTAGTTCAGAGCACAGGCAGTTGACTGTTCAAAATAAGGTATGGTGAAATGGGACAAGGTGAAACGTGCTTAAATACCTCTAGTCAGCAAAAACAGTTTTCACTAACACATGAAGCAAGCATTTCAATACCATCTTTGTTATCAATGAAGAAACATTCACCTGCACAACCACAAAAGCAATCATCATATAAATGAAACACATTGCCTACCAAAATCACCACATAGTTTGCATACTGAAACTGCAATGAATAGGCTGGCTACCTCTCAGCCTGTTTGTAACACACCTTATTGTCCAGGTGTGACGAACAGTCAAAGTGAACTGACGACTGTCAGACGAAAGTCTAAACCCTTAGACCAACAAGACGGTGAAAAACCTCAAAATAAGTTTAAACTGAAAAATCTACACGTGACTGATAAATGTTCTAGTACAGCCACACCATTAGAAAGCACAAAATGTGAATGCTAACACGGCATTCATGAAAGATCAGAAAACACAAAATCTTCAGTATCAGCACCATTGACAACGACATCAACATCAAGAAGCTTACAGGAATAAACAAGAATACAATAGTACGTCCCCAACCAAAATTAATTTAATTGGCTCAAACAATGCAGAACCAACTCTACTTCGTACGACCAGCTTGATCCCCAATCTTGTTCACATGTATTCACCGTTTGTTCAACAAGACGTCTAGACGGTAATAAATACATCATTAGGTCCCTTTAAGCACATACCTATTTTATGTGAATATTCGGATGGTTCACTGTCACATACTAGTCTACGTAACGCGAATCACAACAGTACACAATCTCAAAACATCAAGATTTGTGGAAATTTAGACAGTAGTTTACTACAGATGTATCATCTAGTAAACTGTGCTGATTTAGATAAGGATCGGAACTTGAAAACTTGCCGAAATGATTCCAATTTATCAGTTAAAATGAAACTGCCTAGTCCACGTACAAAGTGTTCATGTCAATATATAGGAAGCAATAAGTATAATGATGATAATAATCGTAACGAAAGCACACATTAGAATAAAGAAGCGGTTATAGTGGTTTATGATATGAACTATATCGGCTGGCGTTTTTAATTATTCAACACTGCAATAAAAAAGTCAAAGATAAATACTGAATTGCTTTTTTTCTTTCATTTTAATATTGCAGTAGTTAATGTGACATGTGTACGTTGATCGATACCGATTTAAAAATTAACCAATCAAAACACAGACTGGTTATTTAGCACAGTTATAACAATAACTTCATATAATATTTAGTGGCGTGAACGCTGATGATAATGACAATCAAAACCTAAAATGATCAGTATATTAAAAAGATAAATATGGCAATTACTGCAAGTGCTGTTATCAAGTTCGTACAGTGAGGATTGGCAAAGGCGAAATTTCTGAAAATTTTCTGTAAGGAAATAAATATACATATCAAACGATCTATGAAACTTTCAATAATCCTGGATTAATCTCAGAAATACAAATTTATTTATAAGATATTAACTGGTGGGAAACGAAGTTAATCAGGGAAATTTGAAACCATTCTCAAATAGAAGTCATGATGACGAATGAAAATAAACTAAAAGCCTTGAGAAAAAGTGACCCTGTTTATATCAACCGTAGCTATGAAAAATGAGAACCTTCAGTTGATTCAGCCAAACTGACAACAGAAACACGCCATACTATGTTATCATCATCCAGTAATAAAATTTACATGAATAAGTTAAAAGCGTCAACATTTATAAATCATGTTGATAGAAATTAGTTTAATAAGACGAAATTCGAAACAAGCATAATGCAAAATCAAAACGATAATAAGAAGAGGTCGTTGCCATTGACTTGAAGTAAGCTTGAATCGAAAATATACTCGCCGATACCAAACAAACTATCAGTTTTCACAAACAAAAACAAAACTTTGTCTTACTATTATACTAACGGCGTCAACACAAACAGTAAACAAACAGGCGTGTATGATAATCGCAAACATAAAGTCGAACAGTCAACTAACAAAAACTCAATTTCGTTCATTGTACTAAATGAAATTACAAAAGTGACCATTCAGAAACGAAACGTCATAGCTTGAAAAAAAGTTTAGCTACCTTACTGAATATAGAAAAACAGAATACAGATGTTATCCAAGAGTTTTACAAACATCCACAGTACACGAAGACAGTCGCTATCATCAACAAGATCTATAGCAGTAGGATGGAGCTAGAAAGGCGAGATCTTATTCACTGTGTTCCCCAAAGTATTCGACTCCCATCGGGATGGTCACCTGACTGTTATGGTGATTCTTACAAACTGATACTAATTATAGTATAATTGTTTGTATATGAAACCGTCGTTGCTTGGACCGAATTGATCGGTCTCTGTTGGCATATGGGCTCCTATGCGGATGCCTAGGTATTGTCTGCGTTCTAATTGTATTAATGATGGATCGTGGCT